CTTAGCTAGCTTATTCAGATAATTTTTTAAAAAACCGGCCTAGTTAATTTTATGTTAAATTATATTAAAGTACCAATTAGATTTGATACACTACCTCTCTTAGTACATAGTACTAAGAGTAAAAACTAAAAAATTTCCAAAAAGAAAATCAAAGAACATAAAATACAAGCAAGGTTATAATAAAAATTTGATAAAATTACCAATAAATTCTGAAGATAAAAAATATTTATTGACTCTGACTTAGCCGGCTAAGCCAAATTTTAAATATCGACTTAGTCAAGTTGATAAATAAAAATCGACTACAAACACTAGACAAAGACTGCCAAAATTAAAAAAAAAATATATATAAATAGATTTAAAATTATAAAAATATTTAATTTATTTTGATTTATAATACAGTATTTTATATTTTTTTAAAAAAAAGAATTGGCGATTTGGATTTTATTAATTTTATTTGTTGGAACTAGGCTGTTTGCACTGTAGTAATAAAAAATCATCGTTAAAAATTTTCAAAATTATATAAAAATCAATTTTGATTGGCGGTAACAAATAAACATTCGTCAGGTTAACTGATAGTCTATGATCGGCAACTTGCATAACCTGGCACACATTTCAGACGTGCAATCTACGCGTATATGAAGATCATCGCAAATTATTATTGTTTTTATTTTTCCAATGAAGGCAAAAAAAGATGTTAAGAAAAAAGGTAAATTGCGAGATACTCTGTCGAACAAAGAAAAGAAGCCAGCTACACGAGAAGGTCCAAAGAAAAAAGCAAAATCTCCTGCGACGATGATTACGACTAACAAGGGTAAATCGAAGGCAATACAAGTAAAGAAGAATACCACCAAAAAAGCTGAGGTATATATTTCTTATTAACAAGCCTATTTACAGGTAAAATTCCGATCTATCTGGCTATAAGATGTTCGGTCTTTTGCCTTGTTAAAAAGATCGGTGCGTAGTACTTGGAATGACGTGTACTTGTTGATAAATTTATTTTGATGTGATTGTGTTGGGTTTGTAGATTCAAAAGTAATCATGCTTTAAACAATACAAGTATTCATTAATTTGATCTGTAGGAAAAGAAAGCTCCACAATATCAGCCGAGTATGGTCGAAAAGGCTGCTAACCTTTACCCAGACAATTATTGGAAATTCCATGCCGAAAGCAACACCGGAATGATAAATTATATTAACGAAGAACATCAACTCGAATTGATAAACGTGGATGTGCGTGATCAAGGTAATAATAATTGATCTTCTTTTTCATGAATCTCATAGCAATATTGACGAGCAAATATAAATTTACGCGTTTTATTGACACAGGGCCAATCACTGGTATGACACTTTCTCCCGACGGTGCAATGCTCGTGACGTTTTGTAATGTAGGATGTGCAAAAATATGGGATACCGCCGACTTCAAATTAATTCAAAAATTAAGAGACACAGAGGTGAAAAATTATTGCAATAGATAATATTAGAAAGACATATAATCTGACACTTGTTAAATAGGAAGTGAATATTGATGAATTCTTCGTTGGTAAATTCATTCCTGATCACACTCGCATGGCAATTGGTGGTAAATTGAAAGATCGTCATCATTGGTCAAAAGATGATGATGATAATCATATCCTACCGTGTCCTCTTAAGGTATTCTATGCCTAAAACTAAAATTACTTAGTTGATTTGTGATGAATATTTAATGTGTTTTCTCTAATCGGCTAGATTTTTGATGTTATTACCGGGAAAGTTATCGCAAGACTTGAAGGTCACACAGAAGAAATATTATGTGTAAAAACTGTTATATATAAAGGCGCACCATATTTCTTAACGACAAGTCAAGACGGATATATCATAAAGTGGAAAATGCGCGATGATTGGACGTAAGTAATTTACACAGTTTACAACCTACAATTTATTTATTTATTTATACATAACTCATAATATTATTTTTCATAGTACGCTCATTAGTAAACAACCGATGGTTGATGGTTTAACATGCATGGCGTTTACTGTTTCATTTGTTCCAAACACTGCCAATAGGTATTTTATGGCAGCTACTGACGAACACGTTCGATTATACGATTTTGATGCAGCACAGGTATTTGAATTCACCGTCATAGATGTAATATGTGTCGCAAGAAATAATTGCATTAATATATTCTTATATTGGGAATGTAAAGCTTATGCAAACCTTTTCGGGAAACATGTATTCACAATACTGTGATTGTGGTAAATTCATTTTTCCTATCGAACCATTAGAAGATGAAGATATTAATAACGATAGTGTAGAAGAATGCAATAGTAAATCTAAAAAAAAGCAAGTTAGCCAAAAATTCGCATATTTTGTTACCCGTGGTGTAGAAATTTTAGATGCAGAAGGTGGAAAAATAGGTGATGGTTCATTTCGTTTGGAATTAAATAATATAAGGATTAGCATGTACTAAAAAAAATTTAATAAATCGACTTAGCGTCACGTGCAAATGTGTGCATTTTGCACAAATTGATATATCCATCTAAAAAAGGGCAACCATTTGAACTTAAAGAAGTGCGAAGGTTTGGACATAAAGAGTAAGTAACTATTTATAGATGAACAATCTATTAATTTACTAAAGACATTATCTATTTTATTTGATAGTTATCATTCCAACTCATGGCTTATAAAAATTTCATCAAATGGTCGCTATATCGTGGCTCCAACAATGACTGGACATGTCTTTATATTCAGCTTAAGGACTGGGAAGGTTACAGCCATATTAAGAGATCATGAAGGTACCGTAAATTTTTAATCATGCCATTGTTATTAACAAACAAATTATTAATTTTTGTAAGTTTACAAACAAAAAAGACCTAGAAGTTAGAGACGTAATATTTCATCCATGGAAGCCTCTGTTATTCACTAGTGCTGATGGTGAGTTCAAAAAACGTGTTTCATAAACGATCGTTTCTAGCTACTTCTAATTGCTTATTTATATTTTAAGATGGTTGCATAAAGATCTACACTTACAAAAATTAGTGCTTGTCCGGATACCTATTCGGATTTATAAATAGATGTTTATTTCACTTATCGTTATCCAATTCTAATCCGGTTTATCTAACCGGTTTTTATTATACATTATATAGTTTATTTTGAAAATTGACTTAATAAACGAAATACACAATCGAACATTATACTTACGTGCGAGTGATCTATTTGGAATCAGAAAATATTCCCTCTCTTAGTCGTAACTAGCATTGATTCAAACTGCTCATATCAGTATGTGACAAGGTTGCAATTTTGCTATCCATTGAGGTTATTCTGAAATTTTAGCCACATAAATATCTATTATCAAATAAATAAAGCTTGGACTAAAAGTTAACCAATAAAATTTAAAAAAGGCATGCGATAACTAATCGCAATTAATTTAGATATAAATTTTAGGATATTAACAGTCACACGATTTGTCACGCAGATCAGGAGGGTAAATTTTTTACTATGAAATTTAAGTGATCAACATCTATATGATTTTCTTAATTTACATAGTA